AAAATATAGATATTTCCAAATAGTCTGTCACATGCAATACCCATGATGGCGCCAAATCACACTCAACTTACACGTGCCAAAAATACTGTCAAAAACGCTATCTAAATTTTAAAATGATTTTATAATCGGCTTAATCCGCTTTTATCCAGAGCGACAGTGCATGTTCACATTTGACAGCACAATGACACAGCTGCAGTACCTTCTGTGTAACTGTACGTGCTGGCAAGGAACTGCAAGCGATAAAATGTGGAGGTAGTCTTTCAAACACCTGACATTTCACATTTACAGACTTTCTACCTTGGTTTTGAATTTCTTTTTGTAAGCTACTAGATGCACTGTCGTTTCGAGATATAAGTACATTATTTTTTTGCATCTAATCATGCAGTAATGGTGTATTTATTGGGATGTACCCACAGTCGTAAAGAAAATGGTTGTTAAAATATAGTTTACCCTAGAATCAGAGTAAGAGAAAACGAATCTGATCTTTGCTAAAAGAAAACGGATTAACTGTTATGTATGTGTATAACTAAACTATAAAACTTCATATCTGCATTTGTGATTTACCCCCCCCCCCCCCCACTCTCTCTCTCTAACTCTGTCTCTTTCATTCCCTCTCCCTCCCCTCTCTCTCCTTCCTCTCTCTCTCTCTCTCCCTCTCCTCTCTCTCTCTCTCTCTCTCTCTCTCTCTCTCTCTCTCTCTCTCTCTCTCTCTCTCTCTCTCTCTCTCTCTCTCTCTCTCTCTCTCTCTCTCTCTCTCTCTCTCTCTCTCTCTCTTCTCTCTCTCTCTCTCTCTCTCTCTCTCTTCGCTCTCTCTCTCTCCTCTCTCTAATATATATATATATATATATATATATATATATAATCTCTGCTCCTCTCTCTCTCTCTCTCTCTCTCTCTCTCTCTCTCTCTCTCTCTCTCTCTCTCTCTCTCTTCTCTCTCTCTCTCTCTCTCTCTCTCTCTCTCACTTCTCTCTCTCTCTCTCTTTTCTTCTTCTTCTCTCTCCTCCTCCTCTTCCTCCTCCTCTCCTCCTCCTCCTCCTCCTCCTCCTCCTCCCCTCCTCCTCCTCCTCCTCCTCCTCCTCCTCTCCTCCTCCTCCTCCTCTCCCCTCCCTTCTCTCTCTCTATCTATCTATCTATCTATCTCTCACTCTTATTGTATTTTTTTCATGATCCCGATGAAAATCATAACGATAATGCTATTATGATATTAGATTATAACAATACAAATGGTAATGGTAATAACAGTTATGATAAACAGTAAACAAAAATAAATGATAAAAATAGTGAAAATAGTAATAATCATGGTAATGACAATAACGATAATAACAGAAACACTGATGATGACAATAAGATTAATAATAATGATGATATTATAAAGAATGATAACAACAGTAATAATGATCATGATAATGAGTTGTAATAATGATAATATAATGACAATGATAATAAGAATAATAGTGTTGATAATAACGATGATAATAATTATTATGATTATCATAATGATAGAAATAATAATAATAATGATAAGATGATGATAATGATAATAATAAAATGATATTATAATAATAACAGCAAAGATAAGGATAATGATAAAAATAATGATAATAACAACATTTGTAGTAGTGATAATAGTATTAATGATAGTAATGATAATAATAAAAATGATAATAATAAGAAATATGAAATAAAATCATTATAATAAGAGTGATAATAATGATGATAAAGATAATGATATTAATGATAATGACTGTAATAATGATAGTGGTAATAATGATGATAATAAAAAAGATGATGATATTGATAATGATAATAATAGTAACAATGATAATGATATTGTTCATAACAATAATGATAATGGTAATGATAACGATAATTATAACAATGATAATAATAATGGTATAATCATAAGTATCTTTAACATAACAATGATAATTATAATAATGATAATAGTAACGATGGCAATAACGTCTATAATATTCATAACAATAATGACATTGATTATGTTTATTATTATCATCATTAGTTTATTAATATATTATTATAATCATCATTATTTTCATTTGCTAGTATCTTTATCATTGTAACTGTTATTGTTATTATCATCATTGTTATTATCATTATCTTTATTATCATCGCCATTATGATCACTATTGTTGTTACTGCCATTATTATCATCATTATCATTATATCATCTGCATCATTATCATTATTATTATTATAATTATCATCATTACCATTATTATTAGCGTTATTATTAACAATATTGCTGGTGTTTCTTCTGCTATCCATATTATCATCATTAATATTTTCATATTAATGGTAGTCTCTGATGATATCATTAGCATCTTAGTTATCATTACCATTGCTGTTATCATAAACAAATAATGATCATTATCATTACCATGCTTATTATTTTTGCCGTTATTATCATCACAATAGTTTCATCAAATTGGTTATCATTATTGATATTATTCTAAAAATCACATGAAGGTTAGTCGTAGCTTTGTGAATATGATTGTTGGAAATATTATAATTGAAAAACATTATTTTACTGTCATTGTTAATAATACACTGGTGTTGCAATAACAATGATAACGAGAATGATTTTATCATAGCTGTAGCTGTTTTCATCAGTATTATTAGTATTTTCACATTGAAAACTGCATCATTTATGTTAGCAATAACTTTGTGTTGTTATAGTTGACTGTAAAAGAGTCACATAGCATGTTGGTTCTGCTGCCACTTTATAGTAAGAGGATCACAGCTGATCATTGGTGGCAATTTATAATGATTACCACTGTTGTTACCATCATAAGTATATTAGTATTAGTTAGCTTTGAGAATATGGGCATCATCATTGTTATTGTTATCATCATTGCTATATTGTCCATGTCATTAACGGTAATATTGATATTGCTGTTTTAGATTTGACATTATCGGCGTTAATATACAGTCGTTGATAAATTTCCCTAAGAGTGAACAAAGCAAGAATCCCGATGCGCTCTCACACAACAGTTCATTATGGACTCTTCAAAGTGCTATTGTTGCATCTGCTTTTCTTCACTGCTTAAACGAGGGCAAATAAAAATCATAGAGCGAAAATCCGATTTGGCATCTAGCGCAATCCTGACACGAGTTACCAGCGCGTCAATATCTGGGTCGTTTTTCTACCGTGTATTTATTATCTTCAAGGCAATGAATCACTCATCACGTAAAGGAATGCGAACCTCATACATATTTCAATAAAATTATTGATGAGAAGTCGCGGGGATTAAAAAGAAAATAATGCTTACAGGCTGGCAAGAGTCGATAAATCTACAATAGAAATTACAATGCATTAGGAAAATTAAACGCAAGTTACTTCCTTTGTCACCACTATAGTAATGCATTAAGAAAGTCACTCCTGCAGGTAGGAATTTTCTGTACAATTTTCTTGATCCTTTCATGAATTACAAGCATTGAAGGTTTTGTTGGCATATCAACGGAAATTAGGGTGATATCACGTTCATTAAAATGGCTATCAGTTTAAAATGATAATAAGGGTTTAACTATTATCATGGAAGGAAATGTATTTTCATGTTTTGTGTTCATTCATATATGCAAAATACCGCGTGCTATTTCAACACACCCCAAAAAGTAATTAATGCTCTTCTAGATATCAAGAAAGGAAGAGCGGTTTAAAAAAGATCTGTCTGTACAGGAAAATAAGAACAAGGAAGTAGTTTTTTAAAGAAAATATCACGAATGAAAGAAAAAAAAAGAGAGAGGAGGGGAAAAAAACGAAAATTTTGACAGATGCGCTTGACGGGATTCGCTTGTTCCTCCTACCCTCCCTGACCCACCCCCACCCCCGAGGGACCCCCAACCAGCCCCTCCCACCCGACATTGGCACCTGTTGCACGTAGTCCTTTTCTAACGCACTTCCTGATTGGTCGGAAGCTGATCCGCGAGTGACGTAGGAGTCGCCCGCGAGCCAATCAGCTTCCGCGTTTCATAGACGGTGTGTTGATGGAGGGTGGGAGGCTGCCCGAGCCGAGTCTCCGTCCTGTTTACATGAGGAAATTCGCTCTTCTGGACTAAGAAATGAGAATACAGGCGAGTCTTAATCACGGGGAAAGGAGGGACAAAGTGTACGAAGAGAGAGACGAGGGTGAGGCGTCCCAGAGGCCGAAAGAAAGTCACATCTTCGCCCTTTTTTGCGCCAGAGAAAAAGTCAAACCTTATAGTCTCATTGATATAAAATGTCAACGTCTGATTTGCCTTTCCCTCTCTCTCTCTCTCCCTCTATCTCTCTCTCTCTCTATCACGCGCGATGGTGAAGGAGGCGAGCACGACCTCCGACACACCCCGTGATATGTGCCAGAACGTGCAAATAATCATTAAATAGATATCCAGTGCCGCAGATACGAACAACTGAGAGAGAAAACATGGAAGGCGAATAGGGGTTCTTATCGTAAAGTAGATAGTGATTTCGTGGTCTTACGCAGATAGTGAGAGAGTTAATGGGCCGAAGGAAAGCTTACGATATGTATTGCGGTTCTTAAGGAATGCCACAGAATTGCAATATGTTAAGGAACGTGCTTGTATTACTTATCTGTTCGTGTGTTCTACATTTCGTACTTTCATTCCCTCACTTGAAGTCAGAAGATTAAATAAGGGCTTCAGTGGGTGTTATTTTGATTTTTAGGTTTATACTGAATTGTGCCTGATGACCTTTCCTCTTGCGTGTGTGTGACGTGTGAATGTATTCGGGAATGTGAATGTATGTTCTCAGGCATTTGTGCTTCTGATTGGTCTTGTTATCTTAGGATGTTATATTTTTTCCTTTACTTTATCCTTATTTTTCTTTTGATTCTTTTTTTGGCGTGTTGTATAATTATCATGTGTTCTGTTTTGTTTTGCCTCTTCTTCCTCTTTGATAAATTAATCATTATTTCTTTTATCCTTTTATTTCCTTCTATGAATTTACTCATGTTATTTCCTACCATATTTCTTATTATATCATCTCTTTATTTTTTATTTATTTATTTTTTTCTTAAAATGACTGGTTGTGTTCTATCCAAATCCATGTAATACTGACTCTGACATGTGACGGAAGAGCTACACTTAGAACTCGATGTATTGTCTAAGACTGTCATATATGTTCCGACAAGATGGGCTCGTTCCTTGTCTGGCAAATACATCTGGGAGATCTCTCAGGCTCTTTCCTGCTAGAATATACATGGATGAAGTTTGTTGACCTTTGTTAATTGGATATGAAGTTCTCTTCTAAATTTTCTCTATTCTCTTCTCTTTCCTTTTTTCTGCACTTCCCAGCATATTGATGTGACTGCTGAATTAGCTTCTTTTTTGTACTTCGAAGCTTTCTCATATGAAACTACGCACTTGCTTGCATGATTGTTTGTCACAAGAATATATTTGTTTGCATTTGTTTTTGTGCACCATACCATACAAATATAAGTCAAGGTGTCATCATATTTTGAAATTGCTGTTATCTGATTAGAACTGATAATCATAGTTGATTATGGTTGAGGATTGTTGTAGGTAGAGATAGGAAGTGAAGCGGATTTGTTACTATTCATGGGAAAGGATGAATGGACTTGGAGTGACGTATAACAGCTACAGTGCTGAGTTTAGGAGACTTTTCGAGTGTTGGACAACAGGTGCATTGCTGAGTTTAGGAAACTTTTCGAGTGTTGTACAACAGGTGCATTGCTGAGTTCAGGAGACTTTTGGAGTGCCGCACAACAGGTGCAGTTCTGAGTTTAGAAGATTTTTAGAGTAACGTACAACAGGTGCAGTGCTGAGTTTAGGAGTCTTGCAGTTCTCTGTTGTGTTGATAACATGATTGGCTGAAGTAAGATTTGTTTCAAAGAAGACACCTTTGACACCCAACTCTCCTTTTTTTTTTACTTAGGAACCATGGATTATCTTTGAAACTATTAGAATTGTAGGTCTCTTCATCTTCTGTCTTCAAATGCGGGAAGCCAGAGGGATCTAAGCCTCACTTCATAAGATTTTCTTTGATCTGAGGCGTCTGGTCACTCCCTGACAGACCTTCTCTGTGCTACCAATACCTCGTTCTTGTTGGGGGAATCAGGATTGAATGGCATATTGCATTTGTGAATGTCATGAACTTAGGGATAGGATGTTGAATGTTTCACAGTCCATCTATGTATAAGTTTGCCTTATTCGACCCTCTGTGGAATTCATTTTATTAGCAACTTTTGACACATGAGATAAACATTTCCATAGGGAGTTATGGAAAAACAGCAAAAAGTAGTTGTTTGTGATGGTAATCATACTAGGGATTTGATCTACCTTTGTACTGAGTACCTAAATCTACCTTGTGCTTGATTTGATTGAGCTCTTTTTATATATTTTTTTTACCTTGACATTTTCAAATAAAAATCATTTCAAGTTCTAGTTAATCAATAGGAAGAAGTATTGTATTTGCCTTCAGGTAAGTATAGAAAAAGGGTTTTATGTCAGCATTGCCGTTGCTGAGAAGAGGAGAGAAGATTTTGATTTTAGACTTTTGCACTCTG